GCGGGCGGTTGGCTGCTGCTGTCGCGGCTGCTGGTGGACGGCGGCTGGCGGCGCTGCTGCTTCTCTGGTGAACGGCGACGCTGCTGAAGAGTGGCTGGAGCCTGGAGTATGAGAGGAATAGGAGAAAAGAAGAGGAAGAAGAGTTGAACTGCTGAAGAGGAGAGGATGAGGAGTGAGAAAAATTGAAAAAATCTGTAGAAAGAGTAAAAAAGATAGGGTATTAGGGTTTCTTACTTTTTTTAAAAAAAATTATTCAATATTAATAATTATTAATTAATATATTATAATTTATAAATTATAATATAATATTTCAGTTTAAACCGAAATACCGAATTTCAAAGTAATATGTACCGAAAACCGAACCGAAATACCAAAAATACAAAGATCATATGACTCAAATGTTGCTACATAAGATCATTTGTAGAAACATATGACTCAAACGTTGCTACATATAATCAGTTGTAGCAACATATGACTCAAATGTTGCTACATAAAATCATCTGTAGAAACATATGAGTCAAATGTTGCTATAGATAATCATATGTAGCAACATATGCCACATGTTGTGACAGATGAATGTTGCTACATATAATCAGTTGTAGAAACATATGGCTCATATGTTGCTACATATAATCAACTGTAGCAACATATGACTCAAATGTTGGTACATAAAATCATTTGTAGAAATATATGAGTCAAATGTTGCTACAGATAATCATATGTAGAAACATATGAGTCAAATGTTTCTACATATAATCATATGTAGCAACATATGCCATATATTGTGACGGACGAATGTTGCTATATATAATCAGTTGTAGAAACATATGACTCATATGTTGTTAAATATAATCAGTTGTAGCAACATATGACTCAAATGTTACTACATAAAATCATCTGTAGAAACATATGAGTCAAATGTTGCTACAGATTATCATATGTAGCAACATATGAGTCAAATATTGCTACAGATAATCATATGTAGCAACATATGCCACATGTTGTGAGGGTGAATGTTGCGATACACGCATCAGCTGTGACAACATATGACTCAAATATTGCTACATATAATCATCTGTAGCAACAAATGACTCAAATGTATAGGCGAATTATCTGTAGCGACATATGTCAAATGTTGTGACAGATGAATTGATAAAATAAACATTGTCTTTAATTACATTGTCTTTAAAATAAAATAAAATTGTCTTTATTACAAGCATAATGTCAAGGCTTTAAGCTCTGAGATATTATCCCATAAGTCCAAATATATTGCATTTGTTCAATTAGATTGTCACATAACACTGAAGTGGGTGGATCCAATTCTGCCCGACTAATCAAATGCTCAATGAATGAAATGGAATACGACCCGCACGCCGATCCAGTTGCATTTTGTACCATTAGTTTTATTCGACCATTAAATTCTCATGGTTGAGTGAGCAACTTCTCTAGAAAATGATTCATTATTCCACTCTGCTTCAGCAATTTAGGCAGCAACTCGGAGACATGTTGTATGAGTGTGAAAAACTTTTCATGTTCCGTAACCACCAGGTTGCTCATAAACATTGATCAATCCTCGTGCAAGAGAATCTCGAGAGTCACGAAATTGTTACCCAACGTCTTCATGACTGTCAAAATCCTTTTTATATCAAGCCAATCCATGCCTCCAGGAGTTGTCCTAATACCCTTGACATAGTCAATCATATCATCATCCCATACAAAGTCATCTACTAACTGAGTCATGCTTTTACCACCTGACATTGTTGCCTTATCGCTCATTTGATTATATCTATGTAGGAAGTTTGTATAGAAGTTGAGATCAAGGATTCTATCTTTGGGATCATAGTTGTACGGGTATTTCCAGTGCCTCTGACGCACGAGGTTAAGAATTTCGTCAATATACTAAAATAAAAAATAATATTAAATAGTTAGGAAAAGGAGTCACTGAAAAGACATAAGTAATAGTTAATAATATAAAAAGTAGGATTACCCAATCTTCCCACCAAACTGTTAGGCTTGTCATGTTCCTGAAAATCTTGACCGGTAAAAACATGCATGTCGTATTCCATTCGAATATCCTTTGCACTGGTCACCTTAATTACTGCTTCCTTTTCAGCTACAGAGGGACGCCTATAAATATTCAACCTTTTATACTCCGTCACCACTTTCTCCATTACGGTCCTTGGAATTTCTCCAAACATCTTTCTCTTCAATTTTGCATTGCCTTGGCAAATGATTCTTTTCTCCGCTTGGACTTTGGAGTATATGCATGCCGCATATTCTTTGATACAATGTCGTTCACACCCCTCTTGTTTTTTAATTCATTGACAGCTTCACTCAATTTTTGTGGATAAATAATAGAATCTTTATCATGTTTCTTACACTTCTCACAGAGAAAGACAGAACATCGTCTACAAGAGGTAGCCCCTTCGTGTTGTCCTGCACCAGCAGCACCACCACCGCCAACACCAGCACCATCATCAGCAGATGTACCATCAAAAATAAGTAATTCATTAATGACTTCATTAGGAACTCTCTCTCTCTTTTGATGGTTGTTGCTCCAACCAACACAATTTTAACTCTATCCACAACAGGATCATAAATGATTTCAACCAACCCTAAAGTTATTAGATATGACATTTGCGATTCCTCTTCTGTTGAGGTAATCCATGGATGGACAACCTAAAATTGTAAAAATGAGTCATCAGTAAGAATTATTTGTTGCTACAAATGAATTGTCTGTCACAACATGTGTCACATGTGGCAACACATGACTCGTCTGTAGCAACATGTGACATAAATATTGCTACAAATGAATCATGTGTTGCCACATATGTCACAAATATTGCTACAAATGAATCATGTGTTGCCACATATGTCACAAATATTGCCACAGATGAATCATCTATAGCAACATGTGTCATATGTCGCAACACATAACTCGTCTGTAGCAACATTTGTGACACATGTCGCAACAGACGAGTCATCTGTAGCAATATTTGTGGCACATGTCATAACACATGATTTGTCTGTAGCAATATTGGTGTCACATGTAGCAACAGATGAATCATTTGTAACAACATGTGACATAAATGTAGCAACATATGCCTGTAATATACTAATAATAACGTACTGCTTCAAAATGAGGGTTAAAAAGATCTGAAATATGTCTTTCTTTGGTAGTTTTTGTTCTTGCCATCAACCATATCATCATCCTTGGGGATGATCTCTCTTTTTCTGCAATTACTTAATGGGTGAAATAAGGAATGACTTCAAATTCCCAGACCTGTAAAAAAGAAAAACTTGTCAATATTCAAATGTTGAATTATTACTTAATATAATATAAAAAGATTTCAGGTTTATCATGAAAGCCTATGGAAATACAAACAAGTTAATTGTCTTTTCTTCTGATGGCCTCACAGTTAGATGAAAGATCTCATGACCCCAGTGGTAGTTCTTGAAAGCTTCAATATCCTGACATAAGTTGACGTACTTTAAAAGTATGTTATTGCCCTGATCCTTCGGCAAAAGTATATTATGTGTAAACCAAAGTAAGCATAATGACTTCTTGTGCTTCCTTGGTGTATCCTCTCGTTCCAACAAACTTAATAAGTCAGAATTTCTAAATCTTTTGCCAACAAGGGACATCAAGTCCTGCTCCTCAGTTGGTAGTGACTGTTGTCCTGCTTCTTTTACTTAGTTAACTACTTTCTTTCTTCGTGATTCTGTTTTAACAATGTATTCAGGGATGGGCTCAACAAGAGGATGACATTTTAGCCCTATAACTATAACAAACTCTTATGCCAAAAAAACTGGCATGCCACAATAATTAATTAGAATCTCATCCTTCTTACTGAGATTTTCAAAAATGAACCTTCTTTTCAGAAGTTCATATACAATGGTCATTCGAAAACGTGAAAGTGAATTAATGGATAAATCAAGAATATGACTTAAAAAACTATTTTTGAAAAAATATTCTAATTGATTTCTCTTTAGGATATCCCTGAATTTGACGAAAGGTCTTCCTAAAACTGACCTAATAATGTTGTAACCATTAGCATCAGGCTGTAGATGCACAGGGAAAGTGTCTGCATTGATGATTTTAATCCCATCATCACCACTAGCATTGAACTCTTCATGAAGTTCTTGTTCTTCTTCATGGACTTCATTTATTTTTTCTTGTTGTACCACAATTACTACTTCTGTATTTTCCCCTTCTTCTTCCAGAACTTTATTTATTTTCCATTGTTCCTCAACTTCTTCTTGTTTTCTATCTTCTTCCTCCACTACTTGTCTTTGTTCATATTCCTTTTGACAAAATTCTACTTCTACTTGAGAAGAAGAAACTGCTTCAGTTGCAAGATTTTCTAAAAGTGAAGTATTTTCGTTCCTCTTCCTAACAATTTTAGACCTAGCCTTCTTCTGGATCTTTGTTTGGTCAGATGTGTCAATATCAAGTTTTCTTTTGACAGGAGACATTATATTTGTATCTGCAACCACAAGTCAAAACAGGGTAATAATGAGATAAGCAAACAAATGCATTTCAAATCCTAATTAAATATTACATGATAAGATATATATTAACAATAAAGTAGAAATTATGAGGATAACACAACACCGCCTTTGCTGTAAAAGATGATCTGTGAAAGAAGGAAGAGAAGGAGAAGTATATTGTACTGGCAAAGGGAGAGGAGAGGAGAAAACTGAAATTAATTATTAGTATAATAAATAAATAAATTTTGAAATACGAAATGATACATTTATAGAAGAGAGGAGAGAGGAGGAGAAAGGGGAGAGAAAAATGAAAATTAAAGCCGTTTATTTTTTTAATTAGGACAATTCAAATTGTGACATATGTTGCCACATATATATTATATGTCGCTATATATATACGATTTGTTGCCACATATAATCTTGTCGTGTTTATTACTATAGAAATTATATATGTTATGATGCATATACTATCTGTTGCTATAGATGATTCGCTTTGTTGCCACATATAATTTTGATACTTTCCATCATAATTGACATTTGTTCAAACAAGATCAAAATAATCATAAAAATATATTAATACATAACCACCTATCTAATCAATGGTTGTAAACACAACATTTTCATCGATCTTAGATTTTTTTTATAGTTTTACGCATCTCTGAGTTTTCATTGTCACTAACATAACCATTTCGAGCCTTTACAATTCCATAATTCCATAAGAGTAAAGCATATCTCAAGAGAATGGTGTCAGCACTAATTCCACATGATGGTACTTGTAATCCATCACTCAAATACTCAGCGTATGCAGCAACAAAAATTCCACAATCTCTGCATGGTATATCATTAATCAGAAAATATAATAAAATCACATTTTGATAGTCGTAAGACAAAATAATATTGTGATACTTACAGACTACTGCTTTCTTGTTGGGCAATACCAGTAACATGACTGACTTCGAATGGGTGAGATTTGTTCTTTCCTTGGTAACATTTAAGGACTGACCAGTTGGTTCGCTCATTTTTCTCAAAAAATCCACTCAACTCAAGGTACTTTGGCAACATTGTAGCCATCTTTTGAATCTCGGAGGATAGTTTTCTATTAGACCTAATTGAGGACATGGAATCATACACTTTTATGCACAGTTCCTTCAATGCAACGACTGTCAAGTCCCAATGGAATTCCGTATTACTATTTATAGGGACATAAACATCATCCGTCAAGTGCCAAGGCATTCCAGAAGGTATAGCATACCCTTCCATTATGTTAATGATTTTATCCTCATATTCACTAGAATTGTCAATGTATGTTTTGAAAAAACAACTAGTGGTGGTATATTAATATTTAGAATGAATATGCTGCTTCGACTTCTTATGTAAATAGTAAAATATGACATCCACATACTGCACACACATAGATGAAACAAGTGTATCAATTTAATTGTATATATTAATGTACTAAACATTACATATAAAAGTGAGCATGGATTTACCTCATCATTCCAGCACCTATTGGTTTGAGGCATTACGTAGAACTAGTCCCTATTCATTGGAAATGCAACTACTAAATCAAGTTGGTCAAATTCAAGTTTTGAGCAGTTGACTAAGTAGTGATCCTCCTTGTTTCCTCTGCAATATACCTTATTATTATAAATCATTATTTATTGGACAACAAGAAGAAATTTGAATAATAGTTGAACGACTTACTTTACTTACTTTTTTGCATAATGCTTGTAAAGACCCTCGTTTATCCATTGCGAGAAGGATGACATTAGTTAAGTTGGACACTCGCCGTCAATATTAAAACCTTCAAATGGATATTGTCGCTTCACATCACAATGGACAACTTCGACTTTCTTCCTGTTCTTTTTGCTTTCACTTTTTCTTTCTACTTCACCTTCTCCTTCTCCTTCTTTTCATTTGCTTTTTTCTTCTTCTCCTTCTCTTCATTTGCCTTCTTCTCCCTCTCCTTCTCCTCCTTTGCCTTCTTCTCCTTCTCCTCCTTTGCATTCTTTTCCTTTTCCTTCTCCTCCTCCTTTTCCTTCTCCTCATTTGCATTCTTTTCCTTTTCCTTCTCCTCCTTCTCCTTTTCCTCCTTTGCTTTCTTCTCCTTTTAACCTCGTTATATTTCAAAGTCTGTGAAGTCTTCTTGGATCTTTGCACCTCAATATTATGTGACATTTTCTTAAAAATATCAGTGAATTTTTTTAATACGACTAATAAAATAATCATGTTGCTGTTCACATTCTTTGCATAGACAAAATTATCATTTCATATTAGAAGACTGAGTTGTTGTCATGGATGAATCTTCTTGTATCATTTCATCTATAAGGTAAATAAAAAAATATTGAGATTTTACAATTCATTATAAAATAATAATAGCAGTATGTTGCAACCGATGTATAATCTGTTGCGATAAATTAACATTATGTTGTCACATATGTACCTGCTGTTGCGCAACATATACATCTTATGTAGCAACAGATGCATCATATGTTGATACATCTGTACAAATTATTGCAATATTTGAATCTTATGTGGCAACAGATGATCAAGATATTAATTTTTTCAATTCACTATAAAATAATATTAGCAGTATGTTGCAACTGATGTATAGTCTATTGCGATAAATTAACATTTATGTTGCCACATATGTACCTGCTGTTGTGCAACATATACATCTTATGTAGCGACAGATGCATCATATGTTGACACATCTGTACAGATTATTGCAACATTTGAATCATATGTGGCAACAGATGACCAACATATTACTAAAATGTGGCAACATACGCTAAATATATTTTGGACGCCTGAACAACACTATATTTCTAAAATCATATCAACAAAATTAAAAAAAAGAACAACAACAAAAAATGACTTTTCAGTGAATGATAACATTACAGATACATTTCCTCAAAATAAGAATTTTTTGAGTTGGCTGATTTTCTTTCAAAAATGATAAATAATACACACTATTAAGTCGATTATTCAGTTTTTACACCTACATAACATTTTATTGTTCATTAGTCCAAGAAAAAAACTTCAAAAATTGTAAAGTATTTCAAAAAAATAACTTACCTATTTTTAGTCGAACACGATTACAGATCAGAAAGATGAGAGAAATGGAGGACTGGAGAGGAAGAATAACGATTGCAGAGGAAGAATAAGGACAGATTTTCGAATTTCCAAGGAAGAACATGAAGAAAAGAAGAGAGAAAAGAGAACACAGAAGATGAAAAGATTTTTCTTTTTAAATGATTTGGTTTGAACTATAAAAATGTATTTTTTTGTATTTATTAAAAGATTAGAAAATTTTGAAAATGTTAATTTGACCCATAATTAATTAATTACATTTTAAAGAAAATTTAACAGACTCCTAAACCAATCTCTAAAAATAAAAACGAGAACTTATTTGATGCCTTTAGCTTAATTTTCTCTCCTTTGTTTTAATTTTCTCATATTTTTCTCAGAATCTCAGCTTATAATACCAACCCAAGGAAGATCCGATCTCTCACTTGTAATTGTTAGCAGAATTCAGCTATCAGTAAATTGACAATATGATCTCCACTTCTACCACCCCTGCACCACTTCTCTCACCGCCATCTTCCGACTCCGATTCCGATTCCTCCTCCCATCGCCACCATCATTCCGACCTCTCTTCCACCATCTTCAAGTCTTACCTTGAACTTTCCGGTGACCACCACAACCAAAAACATGACCTCATCAAAATCCAAGCTTTTCTCACTTCTTCTCGTTCTGGTGCTCTCTCATGCCTCATTTGCCTCGAAAGAATCCGTCCTTCTGATCCCACATGGTCCTGTTCCTCTCGCTGTTTCGCCGTCTTTCATCTCCACTGCATTCAGTCGTGGGGTGTTCAGTCCTCCAATTTGGCTGCTGTCCGTGCCATCACGCGAGCTGCCACTCCAAATGACAGCTCTCTTCTATGGCACTGCCCTAAGTGCCGCGTTGAGTATTCTAAATCGCAGATCCCTAAAACATACTATTGTTTCTGTGGAAAACTTCCGGACCCACCTCACGATCCTTGGGTTTTACCTCATTCTTGCGGTGAAATTTGTGGGAGGCCATTGATGTACAATTGTGGACACAATTGCTTATTGTTGTGTCACCCTGGACCGTGTCCGTCTTGTCCTAAATTGGTGACATCCAAGTGCTTTTGTGGGGCTGTGGAAGATGTCAAACGATGTGGGTTTAAGAATTTCTCGTGTAATGGTGTTTGTAAAAAAATGTTGGATTGCAACACTCATAGGTGCAATGAAATTTGCCATGCGGATGATTGCCCTCCTTGTAAAGCTAAAGGCATGTTTAATTGTCAGTGTGGGAAGGTTGAGATGAAAAGAGAGTGTTTTGATAGGGTCTTTAGGTGTGAAAATCCATGTGAGAAGTTACTTGGGTGTGGGAGGCATAAGTGTGAGAAAGGTTGTCATGAGGGTGACTGTGGAGATTGTCCACTTCAAGGGAAGAGGACTTGCCCTTGTGGGAAAATTTTTTATGAAGGGATTGCCTGTGATGTTATGGTTTCAGTATGTGGAGCAACATGTGGTAAAATGCTGAGCTGTGGATTTCATAGGTGCCCTGAAAGGTGCCACCGAGGCCCTTGCGTTGAAACTTGTAGGCTGGTTGTTACCAAATCATGTAGGTGCGGGAGTTATAAGAAACAGGTAAGATTTAATCATATTAATTTTGAATAATATCTCTCGGTTCAAAGTTTGTCACCATTAAATTACACTCACAATAGGTTCCTTGCCATCAACACATGACATGTGAAAGGAAGTGTCAAAAATTGCGGGACTGTGGAAAACATGCCTGTAAACGCCGCTGCTGTGACGGGGATTGCCCACCTTGTTCTGAGGTGTGTGTGGCGGTTCATATTTGACAATTTTGTTACTGACTATTATTCCAAATTTGTTCTGAATCTGTCAAGTGATAGATGTGTGAAAGGAAGCTCCGTTGTAGGAACCACAAGTGTCCAGCTCCATGCCACAGGTCTGATATTGTTCTTTCTGTCTATCTGAGTAGCAATTCCCCTTCATTAAATGGAAGATAATTTCCATGCTATTCGTCTTAAAGGAAAAAATTATTATCTTTATTATTATACTCACTTATTTGGCAGGTTTCGTGCATGAAACAGTTAACTTTTTTTTTTGAGAAGCCTAACATTTTATAGACAAAATACACCAATAATGTATTTCAATAGTAATTACGATAGGAGTTCAAAGTTAGCAAAACCAAATGTAACTATCGCCTATACTTCTCCGAATCTATCTAAAAAGTGAGTAATATCCTTCACCTTTCTGGGGAGTACACAGTTACACTAAAAATAAAAGGTTATAAGGCAATTCTGTTTCAAGCTTCAGGAAAGGATGCTCTTGTTTTAAGAACATCTCTAGTTCCTTTGCATCGATATTGTCCCCCCAGATGCAAGCAGGGACAATTTTCCATCTCTCCTTATGGCTTGACTTGTTTCCTTCTCTATTCGATCTGGTAGGGCTTCTGATGTATGCCTTGGCATGGACCAACTGATACTTAGGGATGGCAATGGGGGTGGGCGGTGCGGGTGCTGGGTAAACCCGCCAAGATTTTGGCCCGCTCCGCTCTGCCCCACATACCATAATTTTTTTATTTTTGCCCCGCCCCATTCCGCGCTGCATGAAGCCGCCCCACATAAACCTGCCTTGCGTAACTTTTAATTAAAAGTAATGTACCAGTACTGCTAATGTTAAAATATAATAAGTGCCTTCATTTCAAAGCCAAATTGTAGAATATATATAGTCATTAACTGAACTAAGCTTTAAGTCCTCTTCCTTTTTGCTTTTCCTTTTGTAAATAAATTTTATTAATTGTGTGTTATTTATTCCAGAGTCGTTTAAGTAATGAAGTTTGTTGAACTAGAGAGGAATGAGTTTTATTTTATTTTGTTCTCTTTAATGTATATATACAAAATTTTGATTAGTATCAACTCATTGCTCTAGCCTCTAGTTTGTACATAAAGCCATGATTTTAGAATCAAACATCAGCAAATGGACCATAAATTTAAATAGTGAAATTATAATTAAGAATGAGTTAATAATAATTATGGCATAAGTTGAAACAACTGATTCCTCTAAAAAATCATAACTTACTTTAAACAAGATTTTGTTAGACATGCAGTTGCCTCCCCTGTTTCCAAGAAACTCTCAACACATTCATTCTATAGTTAAGTTTCAAAAGAGAACTTCGCAACCCGTGTACCCACCCTGCATATTTCTTTTCAAATATATTTTACACCCACCCTGCTCCACCCCGCCCCGCAAAAGCTCTAACGCGCCCTGGCCCGCAAATACTATTACCCGCCCCGCTCCTCAACTGCACCGCCCCATTGCCATCCCTACTGATACCGTTCAAGTTAAAAAACCACATGCAATAGTTTCAGCGTCACTCTACAATGAATGATGAGATGGTTTGTTGTTTCTGTTTCTCTTTCACAAAAAAGCACCTGGAGTATAATTCCCTTCCCCTTTTCAGTAGATCGTACTATGGATACCAACCAGGTGACACAAGCCACCTTGCGGGTATCTTTACCATCCATATCATCTTCCAAGGCCATGCATGATAAGAGCATTGCAGCTGATCTAGGTATCTGTAAGCTGATTTTACTATCCTTTCCTCCATGTGTACCTTCCTCCTGCTAATTGAAGGTCTAACAAGCTCATATCTTCAATGAAATCAGAGAGGCCAGTAATCGATTTTGTGATCCTTGAACAATTTTTTTTCTCAGAGGGGAATCTAACGGTGTTGAAATCCCCACAAACTACCCAAGGGCTATTGAACAGACCTCTAGTTGACCCAACTTCCCACCAGACTTCTTCTCTTTCTTCTCTATTATTTGGAGCATATATGCCAGTAAGTACCCAGGTGAAGTCAAGACTTTTACCTGTGAACTTGCAGGATATAGAGTATGCTT